GCCATTTGTCAAGCTGTGGAACACAAATATCAATGGTGTGAAAGAAAAGGAGTTTTCAGGCCCCACTGACATTGACAAGCTTCCAGCAGGTGCCTTAAAGCCCCACCACATGTCCAAGCCCTTGATTCCCCAACTGGAACATGAGAATGCAACCTAATGAACAAACAATGCAATTTACTAGCTGAGAAAAGATTAATTCTACAGTTAAAGCATTATATATTTCATTATATATGGGATTAATACAACTTAAAACTTTTAAAGTGCAGTAATGGTTATTAAACACAAATAAAATAGCATAAGCAATATTCCCACTACTTTATAAAATTGTAAATTAAGCAGAATATGCTTTTTCCCCCTCTCACAGACGATGCTAATTCTTGACATGTGCTACCGAAAACCAAGCACAGCCCCTTCTTATCTGGCAGTATAAAACATTTGAAAGACTCAAAATAAATTCAGCAATAAAAAGCAAAAATATTTTTTATAATTCTTGGTCAGATATGTACAGTTTTGCTAGAATGCAAGACACCCTCTTTCTTGTGTTTTTAACAATGCTGGAATTATTCTGTGTTGCTGGAGTTCAAATAATATGCTTGGAATCTCTTGACTGCATTAGACTGACACATGACAGATGGTAGGGAAGCACTGTAGATAGAGATTGGCTGACAAGATTGAGCATCTCCAGGGAGCTAAATTTAAACGGGGACATCCATGCTAAAAATAATTCAAAAGGGAAACAATGCTGTAACAGTCCAGGGGCCACAATTTGCAAAGACCCCTAATGAGACAAAATAAAAGTTGTATGCAGGTATCGTAAATAAGGGTGAGTTGAGAACAGCAGGAATTTTTTTTAGCTTCCTGACCTCATCCCTCAGGATACAACTTCCATGCGTCTTCCCTGACAGCTTATCTATAGTACGGGACAGTGATGAGGCTGGAAGTACAGGGCGTGAGTCAGGGGACACCTTAGATGTGATGCCATTCACTGTGATTAGCTTTAATCATTCATTTAAAAATAAATACATTAATCATGTTTCTCTTTCTTATTACTCATCAAGCTTCCAATTATTTTATAAGTAACTCAAACCATTTATGTCAGTGAGTAAGACATCCATGACAAGCTAATTTGCTGTTTCATGCATTTAAAAGTCATACGAACTTAGATTGAAGATTAGGACTATACACACAAAAAAGCTAACTACCCTGCACGGCATATAAAGCAGGGAATACACACTCAGATGCCTGTAAAGGTAGCATAGTGACTGCGATATGACACTGACCTTCAGTGAGGCAGGGAGCTTGTAGAGATGACAAATGACTCATGTCTTTACTACTACTGATGCAATTGTACTGACAAGCTACACACACAAAAAACTGTGTCACTGGCTCTGGTAGCACCTGGCTTTCCAGATGGAAAAAAGGCAGGGGTGCTGTCAATATTTCCAGTTTTAAATGTTGTACTGGACCATCATATCATTGACTGACTACATAATATACAGGTCATACTATTATTAGCAGTGTTGTTTTAAAAAATATTAATAACGTGACAATTTAGAATTAATTAAAGAAGTAAAAAAAATGTTTTACTTTTCCATTTGACAGTTGATTTTTCTAACCAGCATAATTATTGCACTTACTATGTGCATAGCTCTAACTCAATAATACAGGAAACTGGCAATTCTTTAAAATATATCTCTTTTCGGACATTTTAATCCCACTTAACATGGTCCAGAAAAGCATCTGATCTCAGACTATAACTAGCTACATGATGAAATTTTATATTTTCACGGTACTCAGATCAGTGTAGATATACAAAACAGACCATAAGACACATAACAATAAAAAAGTCTAACTGACCCTGCAGGGAGCAGTAAAGGGAGCCATGGGACTCTTAGAGGAACAAATTTGTATTATCAGTAATGTTTGAAAGGAACTTTTCTACACCACTGAGCAGAAAATATGCCTGAAGAAAAAAAACTTGATTTTTAGACAGACATGTCAATTGCACCAAGCAGTCTGGGAGGCAAAAAACTAAAGTGACTCTGACAATTATAAGAGAGGTGAACTAAGAAGGATAATATGATCTTTTCTTATAAGTATCCAAGAGATAGTCCTGGCAGCCAGCTCCCAATAGCCAGGCCACATTATAAATTGTCCATCTGACACTTGACATTGATTCATGTGCATGACATTAGACCAACTACCCTACCTTTATGATGAATTTGCATTTTGTGTTTTAGAGTCTAACATGTAGCAAGTTGAATGTACCTTTGATTTCCTTCCCCCAATTAAAAACTTTTGGTTGTTTTATGTATGGTTTTGTACTTTCACCATATATGTGAATTTAATGGAGATTAAAACACCACTGTCACAGAGGGTCAGCTTTGTTTCCCTAAAGCGAAAAAAATGTATTCACACTACATGTATTATATTAAAGCATGTGTTTATTGACCATTGATAGTTCCCACAGAATTTTGTCAGAATCTTTTAAGATGTCAGAAAATTGAATTAAAAAAAAAAAAATTTAATAATAGTGTTAATACAATTATATAGCAAGCCGTAGTATTGCAGTAGTATCTATAAGTTATAGGGGTGGGAATCAGCAATGACCACCCAAATCGATATTAATTTGATATATGTTTGCCAATTCGATATGTGTTACATTTGTTAAACAGATTTTGCTGAAGATCTTTTCAGATTTACATTTAAAGAAAACACAAGGGATGTAACAGTACACATATTCGTCGTGTGCCTTACGGTTACAGCATTTTCAGTTTGGAATGGGCAATGAAACAAATTAAGACATTTCTTTACCTAAATTCACAAGTACATGTTCAACATGGAAAACATTATGCTAATTGTGGTTTTGAGTTGATTACAGCTAGTGCTAGAAAGCTCAAAGACCCTCCCATTTCACTTAAATCAGTAATTGCCACTTTTATACAAAACTTAAGATATTTTTCTGTAAACACATCCAACATGCTGACTAATTTTACACAATATCATGCAAGTGTGTGTGTTTGCCTGGGGATTCATAGCAGGCTGAAAAATTTACTAATGCACGATTTTAGCCCCCATTTTTTGCCTGCAAAAAGTTTTTGGTAATCACCAACAAAAAAGGTCAATTTATTTAAAAACTGTTCAAGGATATAATAATCATGTGTGTTGTCATTTGACTGCAGTGTTTTAACAGTTTGTACCACGTTGACACTATAATTGTGATTTCCCCGTGTTATTCACAAGTGTGATTTCCTGACAAAATGTAGTTTGGAGACCAGACAGACTCACCAACAACTCCTCCTGATGAAAGAACTCACAATGTGTGACCCCCTGTCTCCATGTGTCAATTGTTTTTGTGTTAGGTGTGCAATGGACTGATTGCTTGCGTGTTTTCACCTGTTGGGGTTTAGAAGGGAGTTTTTAAACTGGGGAGATGAGGGACTGAGGGGAGAAATGATAAGATGTTGGACAGTCACTCCAAGGCAATAACGATACTATGTAAACCACAACAACTTCAAGATTCCTGATTACAAGACCAGAAGTTGTGTAGTGTGAAACGTATAGCGATCAGACAACTGGGAAAGTTGTGTAGTGTGAACTTAGCATTAGATATCTAGCAGGGTAAATATCTGGACCTGTCGGCAACTCCAAATCCTGTAGTGTGAAAAGTGTTACGACTGGCAGTGAATGTTGCAACGAGCTACAGTCAATGAAAGCGCAAGACATGGAGAGAGGTGAAACCTGAGGGTGAAGTTTAAATTGGGATAGACTAACTTACTGGGGGGCCTAGGCTGACATGGGTAGGGTCCCCCTAAGTGGGCCATTTAAGCTGGTTTTAGAGGATGAAAAAGAAACTAGAGGGAATTAATCAACAACATACTGATCAAAGAACAGAGTGCCAGTGGTAAGACTTACCGATCTCAGTGGGCATGAGAGTACAGTTGGTAATATTTGCCGATTGGGGGTAGAGGGGAATCACAGAGGCAGATTGATAGATCAAGTTTATCTGTTCCCTCTTTTGCTAAAGTTAATCTTCAATTTTTGCATATGCTCAGTAAATGGTGTTCTCTTTGGAGGTAAGTCTTGTATTTTTGCACTATTTTCTTCTTCTACTACTTTATGTCAGTTTGCTTGGCAGTGAAACAACCAGCAGCCTACCACTAGACTCCAATGTGAAAAGAAAGCTGGGTAGCTTTTAAGTCTCAAAGTGGGAATAGTCCATTACAGACAGGATGGGAACTTTGTCTATCTTAACTGCCACTAAAAATGCAAATAACATTTTGTTATAATTTAAACAATCATTTACATTATCCACATACCCTGAATAGGGTCATCAGTTACAGAAGATGGATGGATGGATGAATGGATGGATGGATGGAAACTTATGGAAATTCTGTCTTCTCCCCACCCCCTCCCCGACCATAATAGGTTATACAACACAAATATAACACATGTGATGCAGGACTGGTAGAATTTCCATTTAGTTCTCCATCCTTAGACACCTACCATTAGTCATTTCATTTTGAGTGAAACTCCACAAGAAAAACTAACATTATATTGGCAACAGTTTAGAAATATACAATGATTTATTACTTTCTTGGAAGATATTAATTCAATGAGGAACAAAATTTTTTAGATGGGACTCATATATGTGTTGATTGGGACACAATAATAATACATTGGGTAACACTGTAGTACATGTTTAACAAATTACAGTACTTAAATAACTGACAGCAGTTAATTTAGTTAATTTAAACGAGGAGGCCAAAGCCACAAAAACTCAAGGTGCTATAGAGCTGAGAGAAGACAAGCTCTAATGAAGTAATTAAACTTTTTTAAATAAGGAAGACCTACAAAAGCAGAGCCAATAAGCCCTGTCACTGGCTTACTTTAGAGATTACAATTCCTCTGCATCGAACAGTCATCTGACACAACCTTAACACTGATTTGAGAAGAAATCAATTTACACTAATTTGGATGCATCAGACATATTAACTTACCCTTGAAAGGGGATTCTTGTGTTCATGGATGCTTCTTCTCATCCTCGTTGTTCCTGAACTCCCAAAGATACATAAACAGTATGAATCTTTTACACTTTAAAGGCAAGTGAAGCTTTTATTTTGTTCCACATAATGAGAACAATATCTTATAATATTCTTCATATTTCCCTTCCTTGACTGAACAGGCAAGAAAACTAGAAGAAACAAGCCAACAAAGGTATTATTCTGCAACTTCAGCAAAATCGAAATTATTAAAGGCAGGGTTTTCCACAATAAAGGACTAATATTTCAATATAGCACTCTTTTTATTAATACAAAATAAAGCCAATAAAGCGTGAACAAAAGAAATTTAAAATCCATTGTGATAACTATGAAAATATGAGTGGATATACCCATATACTGTGATAAATAATTTTATTACTTCAGTGCTTCATAACCTATGCTTATCTGCCTAGTTTTATTTGTGTTTAAATTAAACAGCTATAAATCTTCAAAATATAATTAATAGATGAATAGGACAAAATCACTGCAACCTCAAAGCCAAATCCCCTTTGGACTGATACATGCCTCAAAACAGATGCTACTAAAAAATTCAAACACCTAAAAGCATTCCTAAAAGTGATAGCTTACTTTTTGTATGCTCTTCTAAAACTGCAGTCTCTCTGACTTTGTGAGCCGCTCTAAGAAATCCCTAAAGGGAAACACTGTTATTTCACGTTTTTTGCCAAGATGACAGACACATAGCAATATATGTGCTTTGTGTTTATTCCTTTATATTTACTGTAACATTCTGAGATCACAGAAACAGTAGTACTGTTATTAAACCAATGACGGTAACTGCCTCTGTGAGGCAACTAACTTCACAAGTATTTTGTTCTTTCCTTTTTTTGCATGGGATGTCAAGGAAAAAAATTCATTTTCACAGTAATGGTCATTTAGAAAAGGCCTATAAAATTTCCATGATCACTTTCAAAAACATACCAACTACCCTATAAACATATCTTATTTTGTATTTTTAGGGCGAGATTCAAACATCCTTGCATTGTCACAGCTGCATGCAATTGCCCAGCTGGCACCACAGTCATTTTGATGGCTCAAACATATCCTTACCACTCTAAAGCCTGCATCTCCCCTACAATACAGAACACCACTCCCTGGGTTTTCACATCCCTTGTTTAATCAGGTTTCACTCAACTTCTCATTTGAATGTAGGCTACAAATGCTGCTTTCCCAGGCACAGCCCAGCATCTCCTTAATAGCTGGGTTAAGCAAAGGTTTAAGAATTCGAATGCCAGGCCTCTTTTGTATCACTTTCCAGGGTGCTGCCTGCCAGCTGATGAATGGTTTCTTTTACTACCAAGTAAAGCCAAGTAATACATTTTTTTAGGAAAGGCAACTATATACTCCTCCAGCTGCCTCCAACATCCTTGTTTACAAAAATTATGTTGTCACTTTATGTCAAAGCTGACATAAAACTTCTCCACAGGTCTCTACTTGTTCTCCTGTTACCAGCCATAGGTTTATATTTTGGCTTCAATATTAACAGGACTAGTAATAAAAAGGCAGAAGGCCATACAGCCTATAAACGCTATTAATTCTTTCTAGTTCAGTCTTTTAATTTATCATAACGATATTAGTCATGGCACTGATTAGTTCAGGGGGTCAACGGCCAGCACATAACCTACCACAATGGAGACGTCAGAAAACGACATTACGCCTAATGAACCACAAATAATCAAAACGAATGTATTTCATATAATAATTATAGTGTATTTTTGAAGACTCTGCCCAGACGGAAAAACATGCCATTGGACCGCCCCAAAAAGAAACGTATTTCATACATGTGTTGGAAGTTAACGAAAACATTACCTAACCGAAAATAATTTAAAATTATAATTAAGGCACAGAAAGCAGTCAGCGCCACAATTTGATACTCGCTGTCGTCTATAGTTGTGGCGCGCGTCGCCACTTTCCCGCCGACTTAGTTTTAACACTTACCAGTATTTACGTATACACCAAATACTGCCAATTTTCGAAGTTAATTTGTAACTTTAAAATGTAAATATTACGTTAGACTTTTAATTTCCGTTATTACACGGCTCTCTGGAATGCTTGATTCTGATTGGTCAGTTGAGACATTTGCAGGTTCGCTATTTTCAAATAATAACCGCTCCGAAGTAATAACGCATAGTCACGTGGTACCATATCGTTTCGCGGAAAGATAAAAATATTATTTTAAAACAAATATGCCAATAAAATGTTTCAAATTCATATTCATGTCCATGTCATTTTCCTTATGTGGCAAGTAGCCGTGTAATAAGCGGGATAATGTACAGGCAGCCGGTAGAGCATACAAAAACTACCGGCTGCCTGTACATTATCCCTTACTTATTACACGGCTCTCTGGAATGCTTGATTCTGATTGGTCAGTTGAGACATTTGCAGGTTCGTTCTTTTCAAATAATAACCGCTCCAAAGTAATAACGCATAACAGGTGTTATGCCGAAAAAGGCATCCCTGCCGTAGAATGCATGCCTGTCTCTAAATGACCGATTGGTCGCTGATCTGAAACGAGTTGAGCTACTTTGTCGAGTAAGGCTACCGTAGTGCTAATCAATAGCCCCAAAAAATCCGTAAAACTCTAACCCTAACCCCCAAAAAACCTCTAAAACCCTAACCCCCAAAACACCCCTAAAACCCTAACCCTAACCCCCAAAACACCCCTAAAACCCTAACCCTAACCCCTAAAACCCTAAGCCTAACCCCTAAAAAACCCCTGACCCCCAAAAAACCATTAAAAGCTCAACTCGTCGGAACACCGGCATGCATTGTAAGGCAGGGATGCCTTTTTCGGCAGGGATGCGTTTTTCGGCATAACACCTGTTCTACTTGTATGTTTAAAATCCCTCCGCGCCAACAAAGATTACCGTTTAAAAATGTTAATTTAAAACAAATATGCAAATAAAATGTTTCAAATTCATATTCATGTCCAGTTTTTTTCCTTATGTGGCAAGTAGCCGTGTAATAAGCGCTTCGCGTCGGGTCCTGATCACACTGTCGGGGCTTATTTCTGCTATAACTACCGCCTGTCTGTACATTATGCCTTACCTAAATCAAAGGAACACAAGAGAAATAACTGACAAAATCCAATATGAAATTAAACTAATTGTCATGCAGGGTCGGCGTCGCGGGGGTGCACTCGGGGGCCATAGGGTTGCCACCCGTCCTTTAAAATACAGAATCGTCCCGTATTTGAGAATGAAATTGCGCGTCCCGTTTTGAATCAATACAGGACGGGTTTTGTCCAGTATTTTTTTTATCATTTTTTAAAAGCAGCGTCTCATGCAAATCATCCCACACGCATTTTATGAAGATGCCTCCTTTCCTACTTTTGATTGGGTAATACTTGATGTAATCGTTAGTTTGATTGGTCTTTTTAACTGTCCAGTGAGGAGGGCGGGTCTTTTAAGTAGAGTCTGCAAAGTGTTGGCAGAGAGTAATATTTAAAAAATGGCAGATGCTTCTCCAGGTAACC